GGGTTACCAACCAATCATCATCGTCCATAAAATACAGCAGTTATTGCATACTTCGTATGCAATAACTATATAATATTGTCTACTACGTGTATCCTAATATTATTAATATTACATTTATTTAAATATACTTTATTTTCCTGTAGCTACCACTTCAGGTTTGGAACTTCTTCCTCTTATCTTGGGTTTAGTCGTAATGGCTATTCTTTCGGGTCAACTAGTTTCAAGAACTGTCTTTTTTACTTATGGCTCAATTTGCATTCTTGGAAGTATTTTAATGGCTGTAGGAGCTGGATTGATTAGCACATTTACAGAAGATACAAGTAGAAGTCAAATAATTGGTTACTCGTTAATTGCCGGCTTTGGTATTGGTTTAATCATACAAATCACTGTTTTAGCTGGACAAGGGATTGTGGAACCTAAGGATATTGCTACAGTTACTTCATTGTTAACATTTTTCAGAACTAGTACGTAATCTATATAGTTTTTATGTCATTTTATTGATTGAGGATTTTTGATTATTTACATGATACCTTTTTTTTTTTCTAAAGTGGGTGCAGTTTTTGGTGTAGCTATCCTAGGCACAGTATTTAACAATGAATTTAATTCAAATTTACCATCACAATTTCAAGGGTCTAAATCAGGCTTTAGTCAAGTTACATCAGGCGCACAAGTACCTCAATTTATAATAGATGACTTTGTAACATCTTTAGATGTAGCATTTAAAGTTACGATTATTTTTGCAGGATTAACTTTTATTTCATCATTGCCTTTGATAACTACTAGACCACATAGAGATTTTAAAACAGATGATCATATTTCAGCTTTAGCATAACAACTTTATTTATGTAATACATAAAATTAAGGATACAAAATTACTTCACTTAATTCTATAATATAAGAAATTTATTTATTATGTTTAATTAAAATTTGAATTGTCAGAACTTCTGTTTTCTGATTTTTAAAAATAATGATTTTACAATTTGAAACCATGGAAAGATTTGATTAAATAGGATATCTTTTACCATAATGTCTGTAATTTTTATTAAATTTCTGTAATTTCAAATAGTTAAATTAGCATTATCCATAAAGGTCTTTCTATCATATAAAGTTGCTGTAAGAATTCAGTGTAACAGCTTTAGAAATTCATGACCCTATTTTAGGATGTTCTCAAGTAGCATATTCAGTGAATTAGCTAGTGATCGTAATAGTCATTGATTATGTTAAAGATCATTGGAATGAATGATGATATAATTAACGTATTCTCACCTAATTTTCTAACTTGTAATTGTGTTCAAGTTCAATCGTTGCAATAATTGAAATATTGATTTTTATTTATGGAGCGAATACTTTATTATTACTATCTTATTGTTATCTTTAAAAAATTATTGCTATTACAAAATTCTATAAAAAAAAAAAAAAGAACTGAATGACCAAAACCTCATGCTAGTAGTTTCAGTTTTTATTTCGCCTTTTCAGACTTCACCAAATTTCATATTTTGCCACAACAAAACAGAAGACTCGACTTTTTCTGGATCCTTTAGCTACAATAAACCAGATGTTTAGTGATAATATAAACAAATTGATATAAATTTTAGGTTTCACTTTTAGCTTCGGCTGACGTCGAGCCATTACATCTTGTGAAGGAAAAATGGATGGCATGGTTATATTTAGTGCCATAGAAATAAAAACAGAATATTATAAGTATTAGTGATTTGTGAAATTTCAGCTTCCTGCCTTTTTTTTTACTCATATCAAAAGTTTTTAACATAAAGCGCTGATTACGATTTTAAAGTTTCATAATGTTAAAGGGTAAAGCGATTAAACAGTTATTTTTTACAATCGATCAATGAAAAATTGTTTGACTTATGTACATTTATGCCACTTTGCAATCACAAAACTACTTATTCTTTATACAATAAATTCTTTTAGCGAATATGGTAATAAAGGTTATTTACCGAACTTTAAAAAAAAAAAATTACTTAAATTTATATTTTATTTAATAATAGCTTTTGAAAAACTAAAGAACTTATTCTATAAAATTTTTTTTATCCGCTCGTTATAGAAAGGACGCGTGGGTATAAACGTTAAAAAACTAAAGGCCAAAAAATTTTTCTTTACGAAATACAAATTCGGAAAATTATTTAAAGAGCCTATGGCAGATTTACTAAGTATCATATAAATCCATGTTTTGTGCGTAATTATTAGGACAATATTAAATTTGAAGTAGAATTAATAAATAAAAAATATATAATCCTTTTTTAATAACAACTAAAAGCGTAGTGCAAAGGAAAAATCAACTTTACAGCAGATCATTATTATTGATATTTTCGGTATTAACGAATGTTTGACTAAGTGGTCGTCAGGACTATCATATAATCATTCGGAGAACAACCTTGTACTGTGCACATTTACGGTATGCTTAAATTTTTCTCTATGGCATATTAAACTATCGTAGGCTTACATCATTCATTGGAATATTTGCCAGGTTTGTGGTGCAGATTTCCTTAACTACGAATCAGATTTCAAGGTCGGTGTAACCTAACACGATTAAGAAAATTCAAAACAAACGTTCGTTTTTGTCAAAAATCGAAATTCTGCATAAGAAATAAGGTAGCTGCGCAATGTAGTTGCGTTAAAACCAGGAACGGATAACAAATAGATCATATTTCAATTCTAATTATTGATAATTAATAAATTTACTTACTAACTTGATCTTATAATCATGTATGATAAAGTTGTTGCATTTATCTAAACTGATTAAGACTTTTTTAAAAGCTATTTCATAATTCCTGCAACACCTAATAAAAATTTAAGCCACTTCAAGAAAGATGAACCCAGTAATCATCACATCACGTGAATTCATGCAATTAAGTCATTTGTTTACTAGCACGAACAAAATCGGCCTAAACTAACATCCAATCATGCCACTCATATATTTCAAATTTCGCGTATTAATATTTGCACTATAATTTCGTATAAGATTTACCTAATTAATTATTATTTTACGAAATTTACAATATTTGCCGGTAGTAGCAATTTTTTAGAAAATTACAATTTCGAATACATAGTTACATTAATAATCGACTGGATAATATTTATCCACTAGATACAATTAATCAGTTTAATGGTTAAATAGTATCGTAAGCGGCCATATAAAAGACCTGGGTCTGCTACATTCCACCGATTTTAAACCTATAGTAAACCCATGGTAAACCCGGGTCTAGCACAGTACATGGCTGAGAGTTTGTATCATCGAAAGTAAAATCTGAAATACATATACACTTTGCATTTGTAACATGCAATCCAGATCCTGAGATCTGCACACGTGTCTACTATTCAGGTGGATCTTTTATATGGTCGTTTACGGTAGTACTGGCAGTACCCTAAATTACTATGATTACTGGCTAACCACTAGGTTACCCGTATGACAGGACTAAAAGATTGGTTAACGGATTAATATTAATATTTAATTACGGTTACCTTAAAATTTTATACGTACATGAGCGACGCCAAGGAAAAAACTGGTCCCAATCATATAAAACTTATATAATTGAAGTCTTGGCATATTCATATGATATTTATCAGATTTATTAATCGTGAAAATAATTTTCAAACTGAAAAAATGCGACTAGTGCATTAACTTAATAAGCCAAATAAATGTGAAGATTTCTTGCTTCACCGGCAATTATTCCACCGAAGAAAATTAAATGTATAATCGTTATTCATAATGTAGTCATATAAAATAATGCAAATGCTTTTGTAGAAGTTTATACCAAATTTTTATAATTTAAGAAATAAATATATTGCTGCTCATTTTTTTAGGTTATATCTTGATATAACCGTTACCCTCTTCGATAGGGTATAAAACCAATTATTAGATTTTATTAAAGGTTTTAACCTTTTTGGATTAAATTTAACCATGTGCAGATTTACAAAAAAATCAAATAATAAATCAAATGAAAATCTCCGCAAAACTTCAAATTTGATACTAGAAATGCAGAAATTAGATGCAATCCTGTGCAAAACTTCAAATTCAAAAAATTTTGCGGATTTTTTGCAACAATTCTTCAAAAATCTGCAAAAATACAGATTTTTGCAAATTTGCACTTATTTAATTTTCCCGATGATTATTTCTGATCTTGGACTTTCTAGAAAATTAGAAGAAGGAAAAATTTGTGGAATTCTACCATATGTAGCACCTGAGATTTTCATGGGTCAATCGTACACTCAAGCATCAGATATTTACAGTCTTGGAGTTGTAGCGTCAGAGATTTCAACTGGGCAAAGAACATTTGATGGAATTTCGTTTAATAGTGACCTTGTAACAAAAATTATTGGGGATTAAGACCTGAATGTTTAAGACCAGATTGTTATATTAAATTAGCTATGAAATGTATGGATAAAGATTTAAATAAACGACCTACTGCAATAGAAATTATTGAAATCGCTAGATGGTTGGATGAAATGGATCAGGAAGATGATAACGAAATTAAAAAACAAATTTTAGGAGCTAATAAAATCAAACCAGAATCGAATAAACAAATACATTCACGAGATATATATACGAGCAAGCTACATGATACGAAAGTAAGCCGATGAGTTCAATACAGTAGAAATCTCGAGTAAACGTGTTTAGGTAAATTACATTAAGAATTAAATTTTATAAAATATGCGTTTATGTAAATGACATCTAGAAATATATAACTATAATAATTTTTTTTCTTAGTTACAAAAATTTCTGCAATCTCTAATCCCATTATATTACAGAGACAACCTTTTTTCTCGTTAAATCTATAAATTTTAGATTATTCTCATCTTTTATGTTTTGGTGGTTCCTCTTAGAGTAAGTCTTTTTTTCTTTTTTTCGTTAAATCACTGTTTCAAACATCTTATGAAATCTTTTATTTACGTTTAATTTTATAAAAATATAAAATTTGAATTTAAAATGAATGAGGAGAAAGGTAACATTGTCCCTAAATTTGGCCCTAGAGGTTTTACGTTGACAAAAGTTGAAGCATAGATTTGATTTTTGTAAAAATTTTAAAATATGAAATACGAAACTGGTGAAACTAGCATAATTGATGAATAGTAATAAAAACAGTACGAGTGGCGGTAAAACTTACAAAAAGCACCGTAATGAAAATAAATGCGAATGTTATTCACTATCAAAATTCTATAACAATCTTGCTATTCTTTATAGATTTTGAAGGCATAATATAACATTAGTCAATGATATTTTTTTACATAATTAAGCTCAGTAATCTTGATAAAAAATAAAATAAAATAAAAAATAAAATTTAAGCGTAGTTTTTTTAAATAAAAAAAATATAAATTTGAAATGATGGAATGTCAGTGATTACGATTACTTCTTGCTGGCGATGCAGGTTTAAAGTCTTTTATGCATTCGCTTGCTGATGCTTACATACGATATATATTATATATATTAAAATCAATATTATCATATGACAAAACCCAAAACATAGTGATGATGAAACGTTTAGTTGGTATCGCTGGTTAGAATATCTATAGTAAAATTATCGACTTGACATTCTCAATATATGGGCTGCTCCATTACTGCATACTAGTAAAATTTAAAACAAAAATGTAACCATTGATGTAACTTTTGTATCACTCTGGCTAAATCTACCTACGTACGTTACTCTAGACGTTAAAATTTGTCTTTCCTTTAAAAAAAACGAACACTGAGCAACTTCGTATACTTAGTTACTGTATACAAAGCATCAGATATTTATGGTCTTGGCAGCCAGACAAAGAGCATTTGATGGAATTCCGTTTACAGCTGTTTTCATAAATTCTGGAAAATCAGGCAAA